TCTGACAGAGTACATGTGTTCTGGCAGTCAGACAGACTGAACGAGGAGGTGTCCATGTTTCAGGCAAAACTGATGGCCCTGGAGGGAGCATCCCAGTGGATCCTATAACAACCGGGTCCAGAGCCGGTCACGGTTTACTCAGACAGCCAGTCGTCGCTTTAGGCCTTGAGCGATGGGTACTATAGAGATGTGCTGGTACAGTACAGGAGATCAGAGATAGGATACCGAGGGCGAGGCAGCACAAACGACACATTGCTGAGGTAGGTCCGAGGCCACTTTGGGATCCCAGGTAACGAGTGTGCCGATCAACTGGCAAAGGTGAGGGCCAATGGTCCATTTGTAACAAGAATGGTGGAACCCCTGACTACATACATAAAAGGTACTCTGCTGCAATGATCAATGACAAACTGGCAAGAATACTGGACTCAAAGTACAGTAGTTAGGCCAACCTATGCCTTTATGCCTGAAGTTGGCTGTACTCCAGGTGTGTTGTAATTGGTTAACGACACAGATACTGACCGGACACAGAGATGGTAGCTGCTCCTGTGGGTGTCCTCACAGTGACGCAAGGCAATATGTACTTGACTGTCTTCTTACCAAGGATTTCTGCTGAGGGGTTGGCCAAGTCGACTGGTCTAAGCCACCTGAACAAGTACTTAGAACACTAGCAGCTTAAAAAAACTTAAAGAAACTAATGGACTTGGCGGAAAAGTAATATATCTCTAAGTACAGCGGATGCACTGAGAAGCGTCCCCCAACTTGTAGGGAAGCAGACCCCACTGACCGTTAATAATTTATATATATTATGTTGATCTGAAGAAATTCTATGTGCAGAACAGGCTGCACCATAAAACGTATGCTAAGTAAGAGGGTTAGGCTTGAGAGAGTGGAAGAGGCCTGCATGTTGTTACTCTCAGGCCCGGCTTAAGAGTCCAGAACATCCAAAGAGGTGTCCGACCTGGGGACCTATTCTGAGTAGTATCGTTAAGCTAATGAATATGATAAAAACCAGTTTCTATCAAAACCACGTGATTCGCGTTTAATCAACTGTGAAAATGCTATTCTGAGCCGTACATTTCGTTTTCTGTTCCAATAGCCACGTGCGATAACTAAGCTTTTGTTATCGATCAGTCTCGAGCTGTCGTTAGGAACGTAACGAAAGTGAAAACAACACAGCGTCTTTTGATGTAAGATTGATTTTACTTCATGGGCAATTGGAGAGAGAGTTAATAAACTATGTTGTTGTATTGCTTAAAAATAATCTTAACTATTTATGAATATTCATATGAATAATGTAATTGCTTTCTTGTTAAAATTTAAAGTAAGTAGCTATAGCATGAACATTATTTCTGAAATATGTTTCATTCACATATGTATAAATTAAAATGATACAGTGGAACCCCGGTTAACAAACATAATCCGTTCTGCAAGTCCGTTCATTAACCAAAGCAATTTTTCCCATAGAAATTAATGCAAATACAATTAATCCATTCTAGCCATCAGTATTTTTGTAAATTTATTTGTAAAATGGGTTTTCTTTGATTCTTTTAAAAAAAACGGGACAAACTTTCGCATCAACCCAATATAATTTAATATCCACTGTTAAAAGTGAAAACATTATTGTTAAGTCGAACCAAAGTTCAGGGAGAAGTAAGGAAAAAAACTGTACTTTAGTTGTCAAAACAAACACGACGCGAAAACAAATGACGTAACGGATCAGGTGGAATGTCTGTGGAGAAGATGAAACTCTGACAGAAGCGGTCATAAGCAGTCAATCTAGGTTAAATTTTTGGAAAAGGGGAACAATTTGACGGGTATAAAAACATCGCGTACAATTGTTAAAGTTCTAAAATGACAGGTAGCAGAAACAATAGGCTAAATTATGAGTGAAAGGCTTATAGGTTTATCAACAATCTCCGATCAGAGTCGACGAACAGGTGTCAAATAAACGCTTCGGAACAAACCTTTCTCGTGACCTGATCTGGTTTTGGTTTTCACCTGGAGACAAAGAAGAAAACAATCGGGAAGCGAGGAATGGGACGCAGGACTAATTGTAAGGTGAGATTCAAGGAAGAAATACTATAAAAACCCTGAATCTCAAGGTCAAAACGCAGTTTTCCTAAAAATTCTATGGAGATTAATCTGTATTGTCTTCATCTGGATTAAGCCTGAAGTCGTGCCTGCTAAAATTTGTGTTGTGTCTTGCGGACCGCTCCAGTTGTTGCAGCTCTGTCACCTACCATCACTTCTGTGACCAAGCGAACCCATCTCATCCACTCTGGGGCTACGAGTGATCAGCTTGCACTATCATAGGACCAGTGATACGCCACTCCTCAGTGCCAGGAGAAAATACTGTAGATAAGCCATTTCTAACCACCTCAAATATGTAAGCATCTTCCCATTCTAATAAACGATTTTCACTGTAAAATACTTGTTATCTTTGTCTCCTCCGCCACCACCAACGTACAAATGGACTCTAGACCATCACCGACACACGATTAACTGATTCACCCTAAAAGTCGGCAAGCTTACAAATTTGACACAAAAAGTTAAGTTCGTTATCCAAGACAAAATTTTTGCAAAATAAAAGTTTGTTAACCGATTTGGTCCTTAACCAGGGTTCCACTGTATTTATATATTTATATTCAAAACTATCAGTTACTTTTCACCATCTCTCTGGATCTTTTTGAGTCGACTTCATAGAAATTCAGATAGTTGGCTATTTCTTGCCACAATTTCTGGCAATCTTTTATGGTAAAGGGAGCATCTAACTTCCCTGACATTAATTTAGGGTTGTCTTCCTTAAAATTAACGAGCATCTCGAATTTGCAATTTGTAGTTTCCTAGCTTCGTTGTCCTTTCTTCAACATTTTAAAACAAAACTATTTCACTAGTGCTGGTACACAACAATGCTAAAACCATGTGCTTCATTTAGAAAATGGCGGGTTGCTGTCATGTAACGAAAATACAATGTTAACTAAACTGTGATTGGTTAAAGTGTAATAGCTATCAATAGTGTGGAACCCAGACGCAGATCGACTGACTATCCATAGTGAAACCCACTTAACGTGGAGCACAGAATAGCGATTTGTCTAAAGTTCATTAACTGCCTTTCGCTAAGAGGACTTATCAAATGTCCCGTGTATCGCTCTCGTTGAGTTATTGGAAGAGCTCAGAATAGGTCCCCAAATCTATGATTAAGGCATAGTCTCTTTGACCCTGTGATGCCATTTGGTGGAGCAGGGCAGAGTTCGCTTTATGAAGGTCACCCAGAAAGGAAGGCAGACAAGACTTCGACCACGAAACTTCCAAGAAGCCCAAGTTACAAGCATTTTAAAACAAACAGCGAGCGCGGCACTCACCCTCGAGTGATGGCAAGTTAAGCGGCACTTGTACAGATTAACGGGTACAGCTATTTGAGAGGTTTACTTCCATAAAATTAACTAAATCTAGACTAATTTCACTCGAATATTTCCAAAACACGTATAATTTGTTGAAATGATCGATATAAAATATGCTATGAACAAAAAATTGTCAGAATACTTATCGAGTGTACCCGTTCGAAGACGCCATTGCTTAAGCTTGTTTTCGTCGCGGAACGGCACATTCTTCGTACGCGTCCGCTTCCAATGTGTCGGTGCTATTCGGTCACGTGACTACTCATCTCTGACGTGTTCCTGATAACTTATTCTTTTTGCGAAGAATTCACTGAACTTTAGAGACATCACTTGATAGATTACAATAAAAAATCTATAGTATATTATGATTAAAAACGACTTATTATTATTATTGACTATATGAAGCAGCAAAGGAAAAACCACTCGCTAACGACAACAATTCTATCATGATATATATTATAATGATGATAAATATTAATCAGATGCAACATAAGATGTCTAATGTCGATGTAAATAAATATTATACAATTTTGTTTACGACATGAGAGATTAGACCATTGAAAAGTAGAACAGAATTATTAGTTATTTATCGCATTATCATACGTTATTATATGTTGATTTTAATCCATATTTAGAATGGAATGAAGTTTTAATATTTCTGTTAATGATGTCTCTAAAGTTCAGTGAATTCTTCGCAAAAAGAATAAGTTATCAGGAACACGTCAGAGATGAGTAGTCACGTGACCGAATAGCACCGACACATTGGAAGCGGACGCGTACGAAGAATGTGCCGTTCCGCGACGAAAACAAGCTTAAGCAATGGCGTCTTCGAACGGGTACACTCGATAAGTATTCCGACAATTTTTTGTTCATAGCATATTTTATATCGATCATTTCAACAAATTATACGTGTTTTGGAAATATTCGAGTGAAATTAGTCTAGATTTAGTTAATTTTATGGAAGTAAACCTCTCAAATAGCCGTACCCGTTAATCTGTACAAGTGCCAGTTAAGCAACAGCATCTCAAATAGGGTACACTTGGTAAGTCTTATAAACTTTTGTTTATGGATCAGCACAAAAAAAGTTTTGGAAATGTATAAATTGTGTACTTTTATCCTATGGTTTTACCACTTACCTTACCTAAGAATTACATATACAATTAAAATTCATATCTTGAAATTCGTTCAATATATTTGGATGTACGAATTTTAGAATAATAATAATAATAATCCGAATGTTTTATTGATAATAATAATTATTAAAATATTTTACACCATTCTCATATAAATTTATACGTATAAAACGTAATCACGAACACGCGGTAATTCTGTGATCACATACTCTAAGCCTACATGGCTATTCATATGACCAAATTCTCACGAAATTAACTTCTTTCAATCAAAATATTTAAATATAAAATATAGAATTCAATATAATTTAATATAATCATCAAACTATTTAGGAAATGTCTACTATATAACCAGAAAAAGAAAGAAACACTAAGCCTAAGCATGAGTTAGGTTACAGAAGTAGCACGTGGTTGAAATATATTTTTCTTAATTTTATAATAAAAATATAATTATCCTTAAAAGAAACGTTACCTCGATGTTCTTCTTTTTACTTATGTTCGGACCACCGGCTTTACGTACAACCATTTTAGCTATTTTAAAACAAAAGAAGTAAAAATGTGGAATACGAAAAAACACGCTACCAACGTAGACCACGTACAAAGCATAAACGTATCAATCGACCTCTAGTGGCTGTTTTTATCATATGCGATTACAACGTATATATCGTTTATTTTATTAATTTATATTATTTTTATTAAAATATATTTTAAACCGTCGAAATTATATTGTAATTATTTATTTAGTATTTCTTAATATTAGTATATACTAATTGTTACATTTTTAATAAAAATTCTTTTCGCTTTGTGGACACTAAAAAGTTTTTTACTTTGCATGACCATTATGGGTTTTGCCGGGGTTTTTGTTTTTTATTTTAATTCTTTCCGCCCTGTGGGCACTAAGAGGGTCTCTTTAAGCAAGCCCATTATGGATTTGGCCAGGTCCACAATGGAGAGGCCGGATGGTGAGGGACGGGGCCCGACATATCCGGACGGACCACTCGTCCGGATTCGATCTCGGGTCCTCCAGAGAGGTAGGGTACCACCTTAGCCTCTCGGCCATCCGGCCGTCAAACTATCACACCTTTAACATATGAGAAAATTGAATCAAATATTATTAACAGCTTCCAGTTGTAACAAAGCTCATGTACCTATAACAATTAATTGTATTAAATCATATTGAACAAAGCGAAACAAAATTGAATTATGCGATCTTATTCTTCTTGACCTTTACCCGAAAATGTGTTTGATTATTATAATAATTAATAGCTAATTTTCGACTATACTGATATGTAAAAGGTGATAAATTGAATGTAGAAGATAATTATCTAAAACAATTTACTCTCAATTTAAGTAAAGATTTTAATTAAATATAGAATGAATTGCTTTGAAGAATCAATTCATTGATTCGATAAAGTTAAATAGCAGACCTGTTTCAACTTTGCCCGTTAGAATAAGACTTGATTTCAAATGAAATCGGCGAATATGAACAAGCGAAGAAAATGACGTCTTGATTTGTACTATCTATAAACATTTATGAAAATTAAGTCGACTTCAAACTTGGCTTTCTCGTATTAAGTTAATTTTTAGCTGTTTCTCGGGGCTAGATGGCTGAGCGGCTAAAGTATCAGCCTACCACTCTGGGAATTCCGGAATAGGATCTGGGCAGACCGAAACACGACAAAGATTTTTCGAGGTGCCCACTAGTAGTGGAGTGGATGAAACCACTGAACACTAGTAGTTGGTCACAGGTTTGCGCCTCACCAAAGGCTGGCCACGTAAAGTCCTCCGGGTTTTCTTTTTTTGTGTGCCTATTATTTAAATAAGGGTCACTTTCCCATAGAAAGTCTTCCTCGAAAGCATTTTCCCTTGGCAGAACGTCCATGTGTTGCGTTGCCTTATGCAATCAATCAAATCCAGTTTTTAAGGGTCTGGCCAAACCTACGATGAGTTGATTTATTTAATAAAAAAAACCACTCTTAGTGCCCACAGGGCTGAAAGAATAAATAAAATTAATAAACTTAATTACTGTATATTTAAAGTTTTAACTAATAAATTTTAAACAATTATTGAAATTTAATTGATGATAAAAAAATTTAAGTTAATTTAAATTTATATGCAAAATAGACTTTGTCATAAAAACTATTTATATTATTAATTATTATAAAATGACAAAACGTTTAATTTTGTGGGTAGAGATGAGTTTTATAAAAACTTTTAAATGTTTATAAGTAAAATCTTCACAGAGTCCGATCCCTCACGAGATATAACGTGCGACCTCCTCTATCTCCCCGCCCTTTCGACCTTTAATAACCACCAAAATTTAATAGCATCAATGCCCCTTATACACAGGCTATCGTACCAAATTTCGTATTTTAATCATTACTCCATCCTGTGATATTACACGAAATAGACCACAATAGACACACTAAATAAAACGCTGCAATTTGAAACACAGTATTTAACAAAGTTATAAAAATCTATAAGAAAACTGTTTTATCNAGCAGGTGGCAGATTTCTTTGAAGTTGGAATTTAAAAAATTTTTGAGCGGTATGACAAATGTTTGAACAAAAATGGAAATTATGTAGAAAAGCAGATAAAAGTATGTAGAATATGGGAAAAAATATATTTTAACTAGCAGATAGGCCTGGTGTTGCTTGGGCAAAAAGTAACGATAGCAAAGATTAAGATTATTATGTTATAGTCAATCTTACCTGTTTTCAAAGAATGCAAGAATTAGATCCCCCTGTTTCCAGACTAATTAGAGAATTTTTAGATGGGTTAAAAAATGTTCGATTTCCTGCAAAAACACAAAAAACCACATCTGCACCTGTAAATCTTGCACGTCACTTTCTGTTAACACTTCCATTGTCGAAGCCTTAAACCTGTCCCTCTCCCCTGGGGGGAATTTCAAAAAATTCCTTCTAAATGTGCATTCTTGTGATGTACTAACTGTGTACCAAATTTCAACTCCTAACCATTTGGGCTCTGCGCTGATTATTATTATTATCAATCCATCTTGATTATATATATATAGATGATATTTACAGTATTTTTCTTTTTATTAAAAGACTTACCTTATTTAAAAAATAGCCCTTGTATCATAATGTAAGTATCACGCGTTTCCATAATAGATTCCATATATGGGAGCTGCAGTTCTGTACCACGATTTTATTATATAATATAAAACAAATATTGATTTTCTTTTTAATAAACATATTTTCACAAAATTACGGAAATAATTTCTGCTTTTTATTATAATTTTTACAATTTTAATACTTTCAGCAAGAGCCGCATGTAACTCAAAAAGAGTCGCATTTGCCCATGTCTGGTATAAAAAATAAACAAATAATGCATTGTTTAATATTTATTACAAAGAAATAATGAAAAGCGTTTACATTGTTAGAATGCGTTTTCTTCGCTGCTATTTTTCTCTCGCCATAGGCCTATATCGAATTCTGATATTTTCTTTATTATTAAAAAAAATTATGACTATTCCTTTACCAAGATGGATAAAACACGATCCGTCGACGTATCGTAGAAGCGAAAACAATGGATTTGCTACCATCGATACCGAACGGGATCCACACAGTTATAGAGAGTTTTTCAATACACACTTTATCGATGACAAATATAGAAGAATTTCTTTTGAAAGATTTAAACAGAAATTACATCATCTAGCAAAGGAAATGAATTTAAATCCATTTTCGAATAAGCTCAAGGAGGCATCGACACTTCATTCAGGATTTGAACATAATCCGAATTATCCTGGGATAATGAAACAGAGTCATTCTATCAATTCAGAGACGGATAAGGAAGTGCCTTCTAATGTCATTCGCAAAGTAATCATTGCGTCATACGAACCACCAATGCCACAATTAAGGTCTACAATGAGTTGGCTCGAATCTAAATTAACAGAATTAAGGAATAAAAAAAAATTGGAAAAATTAGATCTTATTTTAAATGAAAACATACAAAAATCCGTCGCTACAGAGCCAGCTACAGACAATCCAGGAACCGTATCCATTAACGAACAAATGAAATGGCGATATTTAACATTAACAATGACGCTGTTGATTTTGTTTTTTATAACAACTATCACCTTCTGCGGCATGTTGATTCAACGAAATTGGTACGATGAATCCAACCAGAAAAAACATAGACCACAAGACAAAGTAAAAGAAAGAAAACCGGATAAGACACACTCACTCGAACATGAGCAACAACCTCTATTAAAACCACACGAAGTTGAGGAAAACACTCGATCTTCATCCATTTCTTCGACAACTGATACGGAATATTCATTTTACAAATTCCTGAGATCGATCGAACGTTTATATGAAGACGAAATAAAACAACTCGAAACGACATTAAGAAGTGTCGAACAAATCTGAACCGTTTTGTTAATTTATGTGACAAATTTTTTGTTATTTTTCTTTATTTTAATATTTATTTTATGTTTGTTGTTTAATTAAATTATAAACAAATAAATTTAGTTAAAAATAAAAGTTGAATCTTTAATCATCCAGTAGAAACATTCAGAAAGTTATAATTAATTAATTGTCTTTTCCTCGCATATTTTAATACTTACCATATTATTTAATAACTTTTTTGAATAGAAGAAAGAAGAAATTTTTTTAAAATAATGGCAATTTTTAAAATTTATTCGGGAAAATTACTTTTAATTCAATGTTTAAAATTATTCTTGCACCTAAACCGATGTGATAATCTCTGTAATGGTGTTTCTCACGCAAAGTTACAAGTGAATACTGTATATTTGTTTATTTCATTTTTAAGAAGACTTCTACATATCAGAATTTTACGAATCATCAGCATTACCAACGGTTTTTAGTTTTACAGAAAATAAACAAAACCCTGAGAAAATGATCATCACATAGCATGGAAATCACAAAATGGAAAGTAAGCTTCAGTATCCATGACATTTAACCAACGAAGGCCTAATTTCGGGATGTTATATGGTACCCAAATTGAGAAAATTATACAAACTCATAGGAATTATAATTGTAGAACAAAGACTAAATTCTTACATCTCTCTTAAAAACAGATAAATCGTAAAAAGTGGCTAATTTTTACGTGCCATCTACTTTTAGAAATAAATTCTGCGAATTTTCTGAATAATGTGTTCGGAGTAAAATCTCTCATGGCCTCAACATAAGAATTGTCATTAAGATTGAAATCAAGGGTGATCTAAACGGTCAGAATAATCGAATATTGCCCGAAGGTGAACATTAGTACCACTCTATTCAAACTAATTGGTTAGTAACTAATGACTTCATTGTCCCAGACATTTCTAATTGCTACTGTTAAATCGAGTTCTCAGACTAAAGTATTCTATCGAACACGTTCTTGAAAACAAAATTTTCTTTCAGTAATGAGTTATTGTTTCAGAATATTGTAATTTTTCAAGATAAATAAATCTTCGAAAGAGAGGGGAAAAAATGAAAAATTTTACTCCAAGTTGCCTAAAATAAGTTTGTTTTTAACACCTTAAACTGTTGAGATTTCTCTTTTAACTTTATCACTACAAAATCTGTGAAGTAACGGAATGAAATTCCTCAAATGCCGGACGGAATTACCTACCTCCAGCCTTTAGGAAACACATCGTCGCACATGTCCACTTGGTTGCTACAAGTTGATTAAAGAAAATGGAAAATGTATACTTTCCAGCTTCAATCAAAAGCCTGCAAAGCGGAGGTGCCAATGGTGCCTTGGCACCATTGGCACCTCCGCTCTGCAGGCTTTTGATCGAAGCTAATAACGGACTATAAAATGCCGATGCTTGAGAAGAAAAACACAATTAGATACGAGTAGCAAACTAATAATTATTCTTTTAAAAAAAACATTTCATTATAAAATATAAACATATAATTCGAAACCAACACCCGTTATCACGTAATTATCCCGATAAATATTTTTCAATGCCAAATCGAATCAGGAAATGACAAAACAAGGTCACCTAATTTAAAATTTTAAACAAGTTCCTTCCGAAACTAAACCCCGCCGAAGAAGGAAAAATTTTAAAACATTTTTGAACCGATTACACGTATAGATAAAAGCGTTTCCATAATAGATTCCATATGGGATTACAACCTAATTATATAATTAAAGTTGAAAATAATCGGAATTAATTTTAAATTAATTTAATAATTCATCGCTTAATGTAATTATTAATAATTAAATATTAATGTTTTATTTAAAGAAAATTATATTTTTTTAATATAATATTTTATATTTTTATATACAGTATTTTATAAATTTTCGATGACGTCAAAATTGTAGGCCGGTGGTTTTGTAATCGACATATCTGCGTCTGCTCTCAGTGATCTGCTAGCAGCAGATGTGGACGTTAGTGCTGGTCTTTTGATATAGATGGCTAGACTTAAAGTTTGTCGTTCTCTGTACAGTTTTTGTTCTCGTTACAAAAACGTGTTAGATTTTACTGTAGGAGAAAGATTTGCAGTGTTGGAAGAGAATAACGATGATGAAAATTGGTGTTATGCTATCAATAAGCAGGGAAATATTGGTTACATTCCAAAATCATACATAGAGATGGAACAGGTATATGTTTATAATGTAGCATTATGAAAAAAGTATGTATTTTTACATACAGTTGTTTTATTTTAGTATGCTAATGTCATAGCATTATAATCAGATACATTAAATTTAATCAGCTAAGCTTTATCTGGTTGATTTTAATTATATTGTTATGATATATTTCATTGTATTTGTTTATAGAAATATTCTGTGTCTTGTATGATGTATTTTTATTATATTTTGTTAAAATGCAGTTTCTTATAATTATAACTGTTAGGTTAGCGGAATTTCTTAAGCGATGGTTTTTGCATTATCGATGAGGGCCTTCTATTAATTAATTACTTTTGTCTCCCGTGTCCCATCCTTTACTGTTTTGAAAGACGACGTACTCTTGACAAACCCTTCTCCTTTAATTATGTGTTCGATTGTTTGTGGACTCCCCGACTTTGAAGAAATTACTTAAAATTCTATAAATATTTTCTCGTAGTTTATTCGTGTAACTGGTAAGTGGGTTTAAACGAACAAATTCGTATGCCGCTAAAAATTCTACGTAGATGATTTCTCGGTCTCTTCACTTCTCCGTCGTATATGATGATATAACATCATATACGACTTGTTGTAACATCCGTTTCCTCTTAAACCGTACGCGTAATTAATGGACGTTTAAATGTTTGTAACAATTTAATACATTTTTTTTTTTTTTAACCTATTAATTTTAGTTTTCTATTGTTTGTTTTGGGCAGTTTTCAAGATTAACAAATGGCATTAAATGATAGACATCATTTCTATGAAAATACAAAAAATAAAATACTTAAATTATCATTCAACTATAACTGTTTAAACAAACTAGGAAAACTGTTAAGTTTCAGAATAAATCTATTCAAACAGTACGAGATTATTGGTATTTGTTTATTAAAATGTAAAATTTCATCTGATATATAAAATTTACCAATTGTTAATTATACAAAGGATTAATAATTACCTATACATAAGTAAATAATCAGCATACGGATGAGACAACTCGTAATGCTGATTATTCGTCTGTATTCGTACTTTTTAAATTTACATATTTATACAGAGACAATATGCGGATCATTCTGCATATATTCTGCTGCCAATTATTTAAAATATTGTATAAATTTTTACAAAAACTGCATGTAATCATAGTATTTAATATTAGATTTATACAAGCATAAGTCAGCATGTAGCAGAAGAAAATATTACATTTAGGTTTGAAAATAAAAATCTGGATCATACAGATGGCCAATGTCTTTTGTTTTGAATTAGTGCAATATAAAAAAAAAATTAAAAGTGGAGCATGTTTTAATTTTGATTTTTTTTCTTGTTGTGTACGCTCGGAATTGAAAATGACTTTGTGAAGTTCACTAGAACAATATAGACATTGTGTTTTAAATCTTTGCAACTTGGAATTGTAAAGTAAAATTAAAATTTTAATAGTTTAACAGTTACTGGTAATTGTGTTATAATTTCTTTTATTTGAATTTAAAATTACATTTAGTCTAGTTGAAAGAAGGTAAATAAATGACTTTAAATCACAATAAAATTGATATATAACTTTCTTTTAAATATGCAAATTTAAGTAAAATTACTTGGTACGAAGAATATATTAAATAACAATAAGCCACAATTGCTATTTTTCTGATTATTTTTAAAATACCACAAATAAAACAATAATAATATTATGTATGTAGCAGTATAGCATTTAATTCAAATTTTTCAATGAAGTGGGAAACATTGATTTTTTTTAAAAGTAAAAATTACAGTAGTCTTCTACAGTCAGACCTCTAAACAACAACACTGACAGGAACATAGAAAATGGCTGCTGTTTAGAGGTTTTGTATGCATTTTTTGTTCAAAAAAAATTCCCCAAAAAATGACCACTCTTTAAAGGTTGCCATTATTGGAGGCATTATTTTGACTGTAATTATTATTATTACTTTTCTGGTTAACTCAAACTAAGAGTCTTATTTATGTAATAATTTTTTTTCAGATTCATATTATATTAAAAGTAATTTTTAAATTATATATATCGAATTTAAATGTTGTTTCTAATACAGTCGCAACGAAATTTTGAAAATTTAATCCAAAATTGATAAGTTTATTTTAAAATAAATATAAAACATAGATAATGAGATTTTAAACTATGTCATTTTGAATACTAAATCTTATATATCAAGAATTTAACTACCTTTATTTTTTTGTAATAAATTGAAAAAAGTTTTAATAAAATAATTAAAATCTTGAAATTAATCACTTTAAATTCCTTTGTCCTATTAATTAAATTAGCTTATTCAACAGAATTAATGTCTTAAAATGTTGGAGGCACACCCTTTCGATAAATAAATGTCATTTAAAAATATCTTGGGTGGTGCTTAAGTTTCTCATCCCTCCTCGTCAAATTAGCATCCATTTGGCCAAGAAAAGAATTAAATCTCTTCATTCAAAATTCAGATTTTTTTTTTGCAAACTTTATTCTAGTTGGTTAATACGCAGCAAATTTATATAATTGCAATGTATAAATTTTGCTTAATTGTTCGGTTAATATTAATCAAATATTGTTATACATTACAAATAGTAAAAGTATTAGATGATTTAAAAATTTTAAAGAAACAACGTTCTAGGAGTAACCTCATGCATATTTTAAAAAATGTAATTTTCCAGAAAGAACAATTATTTAATGTTAAAATGATAAATAATTTATAAAAATGTATAGATGATGTATGCTCCTAAATTTGCCTCTGCATCTGAGAAATGAATATTTATAATTATAGTTTAAACTATGTAAAGTTTTTAACAAGATCAAGCGATAGCCTATTACGTCTGTCTGTGCTAGCAACAAATAAGAACTGATAATTAACAAGTAAATAAAGATTAAAATATATATCTATTTATTTGTTAATTATCTGTAATTATTTGCCCACTATTATAGCAACGCGCACATTATGAATAAGAACAGTTTTATTATTGACCAAGACAAAGTTTATTAAACATCGTACTCCACTTTAATGAACAATTATTCAGACATTGCCTGTATTTTTCCTTTCAATATTTAATGAGGAAATAAGATGTCTGTAATTTTAATAATGTTAATAAAGAAACAAAAGAATGCAATTTATAATTGTGTATTTAATGTATAGTACAAGATAAAGCAAATTATAATTTTTTAATACTTTTTTGTATATTTAATTTATATATATTTTTTCGCATTTGAATTTTTTTACTAAAGGTTTTATTAATTGCCGTTAAATTATGCCGTTGCGTTATAAAGTTAACGAATGGCTTAACCATAATTTAATAGATGAATTATGAAGTTTTATATTGGACTAAATTTGTAATTGAAACTTCACAGTTTAATATGATCTGGTATTCTTATAATTGCAGCTGTTGTAATGTAGTTCAGTCTCTTCTCTTCGTTAAAATGGAACAGATCCCTAACACATGTCTAAATAATATCTATGTTAGCACAGAAAAAAATTAATTAGAAGAATTTAATAAATTATTTCCCTAATTTTTCGAATCATTTACTAAAAATATTTTAATGGCTTTCTTTTTATTTTTTAATTATTGATTTTTTTAATTTTTGTAGTCTTAAAGAGAAAATTTTATTGGTATTTCTTGCAATAATTGTCTGACCTGATTATGTAATTTTGTGCATTATATAAGAAACTACGGATTAAAAAATTCGGCATCTTTTACACGATGTGCGACATTGAAATTTTTAACTTGATATTTAAAAAAGAAAAATTCCTAATAAGTAGTAATTTTGTTAAAATTTGAGTAAGGTCATCTAATTTTACATCTGTTTTAGTGAATTTTCTATTGGATAATTTAATAAGTTTTAATAATTTTGTTATTCTGGATAATTTAATCTACGTTTTTTTTTTTAAGTAAAATTAACTAAAATAATGAAAGTGATTTTAAGAAATCAGGTTACAAATGATTTTTTTAAAATTCTATTTTCAGTTTTTCTTTTGTAAAAATGTATTGAAAATATGGAAACTTCTATAGTTAATATGATTTTGCAATTGATTTCTCTTACTCGGATACAATAAAATTAATTTTTTCAGAGAAAACTTCATTTAATGCACAAAATTTTGTTGTAATGTCAGCCATTCGTTCTTAAATATGAATATAAGTAAATTTTAACAATATAATAAGATATTTTCATTATATTACAGCTGACAATGGTAGAAGCAGTGAATTTTGTAGAAGATATTCTGAAATTAATTCCAAAAGAAAGTGAAGACGATAAAACTAATAAACAGAAAAAATTTTTGATGTAAGTTGTTTCTTCTGCGTTAGATTTTGAATTTTTCGTTACTAAACAATTAATTTCTAATTACTTTTAGGCAGTTAATAGAAGCTTGTAGGAGTTATCATCTGCAGCAAACAACTAACTCGTGCAGTATGCAAATGCCACACAAGATGAGTAAGTGTAATTAAATTTGTGATTTTTTTTTTTATACAGTTGTTAATTTATTTTCATCCTACATTAATAAAAATTTTAAATTCTAATCCTAAATTAATATTTTTGTTGTTGAATATAAAATTAGTGTCTTGCAAGACTAAATTAGGCATTTTGAAATGTTAATATTTATAAATTTTTTTTTAACTCTTAATTACAATTATGACATCATGGACATTTAACATTGTCACACTTCAGTAAACAAATATAATTAACATAAATAATTTTTAACTGATCTTTCTCTTAACAATAGTCTTAAAAAAGTTTTTTCTTTTTATATTGTTAAATATGAAAATATTTTTAGAATTTTTATTATTGGTATAAGTTTGTTTCATTATTATTATTATATACATGTTAGTTTATTCTTTAAAATGTTAATAACTATGTATAGTTCATATCAATTACTATTTTCGTTTTGTCGTAAAAGTAATAATTTTTGAAGTAATGAAGGTATGAAGTAAAATGCAAGGCGTTTCGTACTAGCACATTATTTCGAAAAACCAATACGAGATAAACCTAACAATGAATGTTGCTGCATTACATCATTAGACACAATACTTAGAAACAGAGATTTACAAAAAATTCTGTTTTTAAATTAAGTAAAGATTAAATACTAAATGGTTTTTTTATATATCAAATAAAGGATACAAAATTTGAAATTAAAACTATTAGAAAATAATGAAAATTACATTAAAACAATGTAAGACAGCTTGTTCTTCCTCTATTTTCTTTAGTTTTTAGTGTTAACCTTTATGAATATATATTTTTTCAATTATGTACAGTATTTAAATTAGAAAAAAGTTTGATTTGAAATGCAATATTATGAATTATTATAAAATATATAATAATTATGATAATCTTTAATAGTAGTATTTTTATTCAATGATAAACTGCTCTCTCAATCATAATATTATCCAGTATATTAAAAAATTTGAATGAACATATAATTAAATCATAATTTTCATAAAATAGTGAATAGTGAAAGTACATGAGTCACGAAACTAAAATATTTAAAATAAAATGACCAAAAAACAATTTGCATTAAGCTAATGAAATTTTAATTGTTATGTACGAGGGCTATTATTTAAACAAGGTCCGTTTGTGAATGAGAGTGAGAATGACGTGCAATTGCAGCAGTGTGCATGAGCATCTGCTTTCATTATGCTTTGCGCGTGTTTAGATACCATTTGCAGCCATGTCGTCTGTCTGTGTGCTGAGCTGTAGAAGTTTATAACGTTTAAGAAAATTGAGTTGCCTGCCGACTGTAAGATATGATCTGTTATTCGATTTTAGCACAAAAGATCGTGTTAACTGTCTTTTAGGACAGGAAAGGGACTTTGTTGTACCTCTTGGCATAAAATCCACTAACAATCAATTCTGATGCTTATTGTGACTTTCAGAAAACTCCATCGTGCCATACAAGACAAGCAGCGCGGCTTAATGTCTTCCGGCAGCAGGTGGCAGATTTCTTTGAAGTTGGAATTTAAAAAATTTTTGAGCGGTATGACAAATGTTTGAACAAAAATGGAAATTATGTAGAAAAGCAGATAAAAGTATGTAGAATATGGGAAAAAATATATTTTAACTAGCAGATAGGCCTGGTGTTGCTTGGGCAAAAAGTAACGATAGCAAAGATTAAGATTATTATGTTATAGTCAATCTTACCTGTTTTCAAAGAATGCAAGAATTAGATCCCCCTGTTTCCAGACTAATTAGAGAATTTTTAGATGGGTTAAAAAATGTTCGATTTCCTGCAAAAACACAAAAAACCACATCTGCACCTGTAAATCTTGCACGTCACTTTCTGTTAACACTTCCATTGTCGAAGCCTTAAACCTGTCCCTCTCCCCTGGGGGGAATTTCAAAAAATTCCTTCTAAATGTGCATTCTTGTGATGTACTAACTGTGTACCAAATTTCAACTCCTAACCATTTGGGCTCTGCGCTGATTATTATTATTATTATCAATCCATCTTGATTATATATATATAGATGATATTTACAGTATTTTTCTTTTTATTAAAAGACTTACCTTATTTAAAAAATAGCCCTTGTATCATAATGTAAGACACACTTTTCTTTTCAGGTTTTAGTATCTCTGAAAATAGGGTGCTTCTTAGATTTGATATATGTCATAGTTATTGACCTGTAATACCATGCATCTTATTTCTGTCACTAATTCCATGGCATCATTTTTATGATTTTATTCTATCAATATTTGTAACAGAAAATATTTAAGAAGTCAACTTAGCTCAATCTTGTTAGTATATTACACTAATGTAGTAAGTACTTGAATGAAAATGCCAGAAAAAGTTGTGCAGTGTTCTTTCAAGAAATGTTGCATTTCTGATGCTTTAATTGGCATTGCGTATGATAGCATGTGAGCATCTATTCTAGTGTTGATTAGCATTGTTTTAGTCTACTATTGCTAATCAACTACATGTATGTACTGATTAAAACTATGACTCAGAAACATGACTAAAACAGCATTATTGTTGATTCAGTAGGGCTTAACATGTCAAATGAAGATGAAGAGGTTTCCAATTTTGATACCATGGAAGACAATGGCATATAAATAACTTATTTTAATTGCAATAAATATTGAGTATTTCTCTTTATGTAAATTTGTTGTTGTTTGTTTAAAAAAAATATTTGTGAGTGAACTATATAGAAATTAAGATGTCTTACTTTCATGTAAATATGGTAGTTTTTCTGTAAACAAAATTACTTTATTCAGATTTGGTTGTATTTAATTATCAGTTATCTAGCAAAAATATTTTACAATTCATTTTGTTCAGATTATTTGGTAAAATGAACAAAATGTTTTAAACTAATTATTTTAATATGAAAGTTTCTAATTTTTTAGCAAATGTTCAACAGGACGATGGTTTGACGTATGCTGAATGTAAGCAAGAAAATGTAGAACCAAATACTCTGTACAATCTGACAGAAAATATAGTAAAAAGTAAGATCATAAATGAAGATCAGTGTGAAGAAAAAATAGGAAATTTGTTTAATAATCAAGTTAATTGTTCAAGTGAAGAAACTAGTAAAATCAATGAAAATGGTACAAAAGATGATTACATTTTAGAAGATAAATGCAATTCAGAGAATAGTTTAAGTACAGTTGAAAGAGAAGTTATAGAAGAAATTTTGAAGAATGGCTTGGACATGCCTGTCGAGAATTGTGTTTTGCCCGAACTACGGGATTGTGGATCAGTTACCGACAGCACAAATGATTTTAACTGTGTTGTTCCTGCATCTCTGGTACCTGCACTCATAGAGCAGATTCGTAGCTGTACTGACTTAAGTTACAAAAAATCACAAGTTGCAGTAGCAACAGTATTAAGTTGTTTTAAAAAAGAATTACCTTTGTTATCACCAATATGGTTGCAAATGGAGGAAAATCTCAGTAAATGTCAGGTGAATATTCTTCACATTTAAGTAGTAAAATTTTAGTTATATTTGACAATTTTAAATATTTTGAAGTTGATTTATTTCTAAAGTTTTTATTAGTGCTGATGATGATTAATTTAGGAGGACAAATCATCCCTCATTCATGGAGAAGATAGAAAAAAGCTTGAAGAAATATTCAGACAGTTATGGTATTGTAGAAATGATGAACAACAACGTAGTTGGCCCGTGCACGAAGATGAAGCAATTATTAAAGGCCTTTTAGAAGAATTATACAGAATATTAGTGAGTAGTTTATTAAATTACAAAATAAAAATATTAGAAAATATTTTATTATTATTATTGTTGGTATTAATGAAATTTTATTTAAATATATTTTAGCTAGATGCAGATCCAAGAATAACTTGTGAAGCAATTCAAGTAAATGATTATGAAGCTCTGCATCTTCTAGTCACATATTATCAGATGGTAAAAATTATCCATCACCACTCATCTTAAATTTATTGAGGATAACCCATTCTGTAAACTATTTTTCAATAGGAACCACGAAGAACATTGAGAATTGCAATGCTGCAGATATTTATAGGACTCTGTGAATTGGATCAGAATGTTATTGATCAGCTATTGAGTTCTATCCTACCAATGGAATTAGCTAGAGATATGCAGAGTATTAATGATGGTATAAAATATTTTTATAAAAAAAAAGTTTTAAATATAAAATTATTAAAAATGCAATCCTATAAATAGATCTGAAAAGACTTCAATATTCAGCCTATTTGTTGACACTTCTGTTCTGTACAGGGCAGCAACCATCTAATTGTGTTTATGGTATGCAATAATCCACATTTATAAATATATAAAACCATGAAAAAATATTAAAGAATATAAAATAATTTCAGATTATATAAATGAAAAATTTCTGGAATTTCTGCTGGATATGATAGAAGAATCTGATAAAGGAGATGAAGAGAAAGAAGCAGTTGGAGATCAGTGTTTAGCTGTACTTTTAGCATTCAATCAACATCATAAAACTGCAAATGAAAATCCAGTACTCTCTTTTATTGAATCTAGAAGAGACGCTAAAATTCTTACTGAAAAATTAATGTTGCTGATCAATCGAGAACGTAAGGCACAAATATACATACATTCTTTAAAATTTAATATATTTTAATAATTGAAATTTTTTTCTAGATGATCCTACCAAGCTGTTGAATTACTGTGTAAATACTCCAAATTCTGTGATGAAAATGTTAAGTGATTTATTTTCAAACTCAAAAACTGTACAGTTATTTTACTTAAATGATACAAAAGTCTTGATCGATATAATTGTTCGCCAACTGACCGATCTTCCACCGGGCGATAACGTAAGTTATATTTAAATAAAATTTTTATTCCAACTTTACCATTTTAAAGTTTTGCATTTATTTTTTCTTTTTTAGAGGCGATATTGTTATCTGAATCTCGTCAGTAATATAATCAAAAACTCGAGTTATGACGAACATTTACACCAAAGGGAAGGTTTGCAGAAATGTTTCAATGCAATTCTTCATCAAGATGAAGCAAATGCGACAGACAGAAATATTGTCAGGGAACTGATCACAGAATATCCAGATTGGTTCTCCCTTACACGGTGACCACTACCAACAAAAAATATGCATCATACATTATGGTGCATAATTTCCATGCAGCTCTTGCATCTTTTTGAAAATTTGACTTTATTATACAGGCTTGTTTATAGAATCTAAATGCGAACTTTTGAACTTTTTCTAGTCAGATAACCATGTATATAAAGAAAATTAGAAGAGACAATATTTTATTTAATGATTTTTAAATTTGTTTTCATTATTATTTAGTATTATATATTTTTTGACTATATTTACAAGATATTTACATAAACATTACCAAAGATGATTAATTCAATATTATTTCCAAAAACGATAAATGTTAACCTACTTTCCATTACAACCTATGTATATTATCTATCATGTAAATAAATTACTCTGATCTCAAAAGTGTAAAATTTTAATGAATATACATTTAATAATTCATTGATATTAAATAATTTATTACGTCTCATAATTTATTCAGTTTGTGAAATAGATATAAAAATTGAAAACTAGATTGTTTTATAATTTATTTATATAACAATAATATAATAATAAGATAGGAATTTCTGTAATAATTTTTGTTCAATGATCTAAAATTATTTTTAGTTACTAATGGGTGAAACATTCATTATATTTTTAATTTTAATGAAATTTCTTGATTCTAAATTGATTGATTAGATAATTACTTAGATATTACATTGTCATGCAGGATCCAGATTAAATTGAATCATGATTCTCAAACTTTTCCAATAAATTTGAAAATTAAGATTTTATGCCTTATCCCACATTGGCTGATGCTCCTGTATTGAATTTGTTGAATTTTGCTGATTATGTACAATCATACAGCCCATAGTATAAAGTACATAAACTCATCATTCCATATTCTTATTTCTCTTTCAGTTTAACTGTTCTTATAAGCTGAAGTTAATCCAAGCACAGTTCAAGAACATATGTTTGGACCAAATATATTTGAATAAGGATATTTATACTTAATTGAAATTATTTCTTTTAGTAATGTTTTATTCCTATTTAAAATTTTTCTTAACCTGACCTGTATTTAAATCCCATTGTTTCTGCACAGTTACAGTAATTCCATTATGCAAAAAGAGAACTTTCTATAACTTAAGTATTTTATCAAATCACAATTCTTGCTAAACTGACCAGAAGCAACACAAAGTCACAATGTTAAATTGCAGTTAATTAAAAGTATGTATATGATGTATACTAGTGTATTGGCTTCACTTATATGTAAAACTAGAAAAATAAGGCTATTTTCATGTGATTTATTTTTAAAACATTGCTCTGTGGGCACTAAAAGGACCATTTTAGCAAACCCACAATGGGGGGTAACCAGATAGCAAGTTCAATATATCCAGGACAGACCATCCCTGAAAATTTCCTGGGGTTTTTCAAACTGTCCAGATTCAATCCAGAGTCCTCCAGAATGGTGGGTTGCCACCTTAACCTCTCTGCCATCTTGTTTCAATATTAGAAAATTAGAAATTCCAATGTTTCTTAACTTGTACTTATACATAATTTTTACAAATATAAATATTGTAAATTGCTTAGTATTTGATTTATTAATAACAGAAGTATTATAGCCTGAACTAATCCAGCAATTGTTTGGCTTTAATACAATGTCTTATTACATAAAAATATATTTTGCTTTCTCATTATTGACACTGGCATTTTCAACCAATCAAATAATTGTTTCATGTTTTTAAAGTAATATTTGAATTTTCATATAGATGTTCAATGGTCTCTAACCTGAAGATGATTTAAAACTCAGATGTTTTATTTTTAGTTTGTGCTAGATATTTCTGGTATAGTGACATGCTTTGAACTTAAATCCAGTTTTCACATGTTGCATAGTTAATTATCTTTAACACAAAGTGTATTACAAGTTTAAAAATTAACTTAAAAATCTAAATTGATAATACGTTGTTTATAGAATCTACGAGAGATTCTATCCTTGTTTCTTCATTCAATAAGAATATTCGGAAGTAATGAGATGTTGATAAAAATATCATAATGAATTTTGAAATTGTATATAGATAAGTCTGATTTTGTTAAAACAAAAATTATCATCAAGTAATGCAACATATCTAAATTATATTTTAATACAGGTAACCCCCGTATAACACAGTACTTTTATAGCACGGATTCACTCTGATACGGTTCGAGAAATGGGTAAAACCCTCGTACAACATGAAATGTAATAAATTTTTACATACTTAACTAATAATAGTTCACGAAAATTATTATTTTCGTAAACTATTAGTACTTAAGTATGTAAATTTTCTCTTCTCGCCTTCTGTCGATACAGGTGGTCCTTCTCGAAACTTGTTTCAATGTTGCCAGATTGCGACGCTTCTGCTTCTGATGTTGTCGAATGTTTTTCCCTTATTCCATACTTGCTTTATTCTTCATAAGTGCTTAGCACCATATAAGGAAATTTATAAAGATCTTTTAACTAGAAGCAAGAAATCTAAAATTACATACATTTTGCAAAAGGTAAAGCTTGGATCTGAAGATAATGCAGAAAAATGCTCAGAGGATAAGGATAACTTGCCAAAAAGAAAACGCTCTCGGTTAATTAATAGTGTTTTTAGTGATGACGAAGAAAATATTGTTTAATTTATATTAATATGTATCACTTAAAAATTTTAATGAAGATATTTATCTTAATTATGAAAATATAGTAGCATGTTTTTTTAATTTTTGGAACCTAACCATCCTTTTCTTATTAGTTCTTTGTTTCGTATAACACGGATTCGCATAACACGGCAATTTTTTGGAACGTAACTACCGTGTTATACGGGGGTTACCTGTACTTTTTGTTGAATTTCTGTTCAGTTACTGATGGATGGAAAGAATTTAAACTCATCCCCATACAGTCATACCCATTATATAATCACTTGTTTGGTTTCATTTACAGGCAGCTGCAAAGTTAACATGCAAATTATATGTCATTCAAACCATTCTTCATTCAATGCAAACAGTTAAATTCCCTTGCATTAGAAATCCATTTCAACTTCCATAATTATGGAAAATATGCATCCATCAAAATTTTTTTTTAGAAAAGTAAATAAAGATAAAAAACATATTACAGGTCATTACAATTTACATAAAAACATTAATTTTACTTCTAATTAATAGTTACCAAAATTCAGTACAATCCTTGTATAAAAAGATACTTGAAAAATTTACAATTTCAAAAAGTTATTTCATTAAGAAAAAAAGGAATAATCAGTGCAATAACTAGGCAGGTGCAACAGGTATACAGAGCCAAGGACAAAAGAGGACCTGAAATGGATATCAAAAAATTCTTATAATCAAATTTAAATTTTGTCACTGTGGCATCGATTCTGTAACATGATCAGAAATGGTCAAAGTTAAAAATTAACTATTGTGTTTATTTTTTCCAAAAAGGGGACCAAAAATTCCTTGTATGGAGCGCATGGAAAGCTACTTACAGCACTGGAAATAATTCTGGCAGATTATAGTATTTCCCAGAATAAGATCCAGTACACTGGTTTCATTTTTAAGTATTTATTACTCTATCTTTGCTTAGCTACAGGAATAGAATAAAAACTGAAAATTTAAACATCGCCCCACGTAATATTTTTTGTTTTATATTTTTGGGTTTTGTGCATAAATGTCAGAAATATCAAATTTAAGCATGTAATTTTCTTATGAACACAAAACCATTTCCCTTTACGTACATAAACCAATGAATCTTGGAATAAGAATAGAGCCAACAAAGACTAATTACAGTATTTTATTATTTTAAAAAACAGAGGTGCACAATATTTCTTTAAAACACGACTTTTAGGTACATTGATCATTATCTGTTTATATTTAAAATAATGAACTGCAAAAATAAAATGTTTTTATGGCTATTTAATAGTAAACATTTAAACAAAGGAACATTCCTTATTTCAGATATATAAATCAATTAATATAACAAACCATCAAAATGATGACATCTCTCTTTGAAACACATTTAAGTATCAGAAAAATGGGTTACTTAAATTCTAATATAAATTATTCAAAATTTACGGCATTTTCAAAAGATGTTTTTCCAATTTTATCTTTCACGACACACTTGTAAAAACAGACAAACGAAAGATGAGAGGAGAGAAAAAGGAAGGATAAGATAAGAATACTCCAGTATTGATACATGGTTAAAACAACGTTAAAAACTCCATGACTATAAATTTTAGTTTTTGTTTCAAATACTTTAAATTTAAAGTTATAAGATTGTATTCCTGAAGATGGTTCAGGTAACCTACAAACATTTAAATACTTACTAGAAACAGAAATAGGTATTTTTAATTAGTTTAAATTTTAATTTATGTTCAAACATACAAATCATTCAGTAGACAGAACTTCTGTCTACTGAATGATTTGTATGTTTGAACAGTGAAGCCATCTACAACTTTATTACTCATATTTGAAGTTCAAAGTGTTCACTACTCATGCACAGTGTCCACTACCGGTGCATTTACCTTACCATGTGGATCCAGCGGATAACAAAAATTGCATTTTAGTTAAAGAGTTAGCTGAATTTTCACATAAACAGGGGCACAAACTGTACAGTACATGTAATTAAAGAAAGGAGAGGGTTGCATTATGGTGTAAATTAATTTTATGTTATCCATCCAGTGGATAACAAAAATCTTTCTAAATATTTGTAAAATTTCTATTGTGATTTATCTCGAAAAGCAGTTAAACTTGTTAGATAAAATATTCCATAAAAGATAAAGTAAATAAATGTTTAATATACAAGATTTTTAATAAATTGTACTCAAACTATGTTTGGCTTCTCATTTACTGATTAATGTGAAGTATGCAGCTATCAAAATGGCAAAATTGAAAGGGAGGACATCAATGTGATAAGGAGAAGTCCTTACCTTATTGCCAAACTTAAAGGACATTTACCCTATAGCAGACATTTTGGAACTAAAATGTTTCTTTGCAAAATCATTTTCTGCATTCTTTGAATATCATGTATGTACACAAATTTTGGTGTCAATTGGCTTGTTGGTCGAAGCTAGTCTTCCAAATAGGACAACTTTAATTATAATCGCTGGTCACCTTTTTGCAACCCTCTCCTTCCTTTAATTACATGTACTGTACAGTTTATGTACCCCTGTTTGTTTATGTAAAAATCCAACTTACTCTTATCCTAAAATGCATTTTAATCAGTAGAATTGGTAATCAATGATAATGTCTAAGAAACCAAAGTGTAAGTTATTTTCACGTTGAGTTTTATTCAACACTCTTAAGATTCAATATCTTCAGAGAAGGCAAAGTTGTGAATATCAATACAATAAGAACACAAGACAAAAAAATCTATATATCTGTTCTTTTAAATTTTTTTATGTACTAAATTTGTAATATCTTAAATAAATGTATTGAAAATGGCAAATTTCATAATTTAATGAAATTTTTCATTTTTTTGAAATTAAGATGCACACAGCCACAAGTAACAATATTAAACTTGTTAAACACTGACTTTATAGTGTATTTTGAAGAGACATGGCAAATTTTCATCATTTATCTTTATTTAGTTGGCCAACTAAATAAAGATAAATGATGTGTGTTCAAAATACACTATAAAGTTAGTGTTTAACAAGTCAACAATACGAAAAGGACACGGTTTCATAAAAAATACAAACAATATACAGTATTGAACATATAATTTTTAAAAATGAAAATGTAAAATATATAGAACTATTTTTTTACCTGATATGTATTCTGTATGATATGTAACATTCATTACTGTGAAATTATTGTCATGCAAACACTATAAAAAATATAATCTGTATAGGAATAATTAGAAGAATTTGAATTTTTAAAAAATTATGGCTAGCCTAATATCGTATGGCTACAACAAAATTAATTTTGTACAATAGTATACTTTAGTCAAAATTAATGGTTTAATGAGAAAACATTGATAAATTTGAATTTAATTATTTAATTAAAAATCTCTTAACAAATATGCTAATTTCATGTTTCATTTCATTTTGACATTGATTTGACATAGATATCATGATAAACTGGCATTGGCTATCCTGTACTCAAAATACTATTGAAATAAATTACCTCTCACAAATGTTACAAACTCAGAATGAACAAAGTATATTTTATATTTACATCTGTTTATGTAATATTGTTTATGTAATAAGCTAGCAAACTTATTGAAAATCCTGCTATGAAAAAATTTTTCTTAATTAAATTGACTGATTTTTGTATAACATTTCAACTACTTAATGCTTCAATATGTTCATGTACATCAATCAGAATTCATTTTGGAAGACCCTGTATCATTTTAAATTACTGTAATTATGTCATTATTTGAGAAGTGATAATTACGGTATTGATTGGTGTAGGCCTGAATTTCATTTCCCATCTGCATTCATTTGCCTTAGAGTCTATTACCTCTAGGAAGCACCATAAATAAAAATGACGACTTCACAACATAAGTTTTGTGTTCTGCAGTTCGCAAAGTTGAAATCACTCGTCATTGTGCGAAATGAGTAATCTGCAAGAGCTATAAAATTGTAGCCATTGAGGGAGAGTGACAATATACACATCATAGCAGCATAGGAAGAATCCAAGTATCTGCTATGTGACACAAGGTGCATGCACCGAGAAATTGTAATGAGTAAATGCAAAACTTGGATGCTTTTCCAATGTTTTAATATATATTATGTTAATTATTATCTGAAAACATTGTAACTACAATAAAATAGTAGCATTCATTTTGAAAGACCCTGTATTAAGGCTCAGTAAAATCTAAATGAGATTTTTAAAATACTAGGCTGTGTGAAACATGAGATATTTTCATTATTTCTATAGTTTCATTTTTATACATTTGTAATACAATATTTTTTCTGTATTATGTGACATAATACAATAGATTTATTGATTAAGCAAATGGTTATATATGGGAATTAATTCCTATACTGAAAAAAAAATATTATTATTTAACATTTAATTAAAATTAGTTGTAATCAAAAGATTTGTTTTATTTTAATTACCTTTCTTGATTCATTAAAATGTGTGTATATCTTCTGATGTAAATTGATGACAATGAACATCTAGAATGTCATAAATTTGTTAAAACAAATATATTTTATTTATTTATAGACAATCTCAAACACATTATTTATATTACATAATATATGGTTCTGTTTTACAATTATTTCTCTAAATAATGATCTAAGCAGAAAAAAATATATTATATTTACAAAAACTGTTTCGTTATTCTCAGGTTCTATTTTTATGTCATCAGATCTGCTCAGTCATAATTAAAAAAAAACAAAGAAGAATACAAATAAAAAAAAAAACACTCAAAAATTGAATCATAAACATTTTAAAATTCCTAAAATAAACCTCCTTAAATTAATACAACATAACATTTATTTTGGACATAAATAATCTTATGAAAACTTTTAAATTTACAGATTTTAATTAAAATGACAGGAGTTATTTTGTTGTTTTCAAATTAATGTATAAAAAAAATTCATAATAATTCTTACACCAACATTACAAAAACATTATTTATATTGTGCTCAGCTTATAAACTTATGTATATATAGAATTTTGCCCAGACTATTTGCACTTTTATTAAACGGTTAAGAAATCTTTTCACTAGGATCGTAACTTACTGTAACAATACCAGTAAGCTTCAGGAAGTAGAATATCTCTGTAACAATAACGTGTAACAATTGTCACAAACCCTGAGTGGTTTAGCAGACGATGGAAGAGGCATTGTATTGTCAGAGCAAGTGTTGCAGAAGATTTCTCCACAGTGGCGACAGTGATGCTGAAATCACATTAACATTAATTTTCTCATACAATGTTTTGTAAAACAATGAGAATTAATTGAGATTAATGATACCTTTCTTCTAGCAACAGAAAAAAGTTTATTACATTGCTTGCAGCTTGATGCTTCTTTGTCTCTGGTCCATACAGCTTCCTTCAGTGAAAGATGACTTTCTTTTAAGTCTTCAACTTCTAGCCTAGATCTAAGCATACACAAGTTATAAAATGCCATGGCAAATTTTAATTATTTGAGTATACTAACTCTTTCAACTGTGTTCCTATTTCTTCCAATGTCATTTCGTGTTCCGCACACTTCTTCTCGAGTAGTTTATATTCGTCTTTCAGTCTCTGATGTTCCTTTAAAGATTATCTTAAATAAATTTTATGGGAAGTGTAAGAAACTGACTTAAGAAGCGTTACTTACTAAAGAAGCAGTTTGTAATTGCTCATTATAATGCTGAAGATCTGCTATTCTGTTTTTCTGATCTTCATCAGCCGATTGGAGCGACATTCGCCATTCTCTCTCAATTTTCAAATCTGATTCTAAAATGGCCCTATCGAAATTCAACACGAATATTCAAAAAAAATCATTTATATTATTTTTGATAATTTTATTTATAAAAATGAAAATTATGAAATTAGGATCTGAATTATTGTTGGAGATACCTAGACTGATCTTTCTCAGCTAATTGCTGTCCTAATTTTCTGATGGTTTCATCATTAATCTTTCTTTGTTTGTTTACTTGATTTAGTCTGAAAATTGCATTTTTTTTACTGTTATTTAAATATATTTATTTATTTATTCAATAGTTTTTCATTATTAAAATATACTTTATTGTTAAGTATTAACTTAAAATCAGGAAAAAAGTACAAGATAAAATAAATGCTTATAAATAATTAATATTTATTATCAGGAATTACATGATTTATAATTATTTTACATTATTCAAAAACATTTTCTAAAAAAATTTTTTTATTTTGTTCATAATAAATGATCATTTAAGATTTTTACATTTTTGTTTTTAACAATAATACGATCTCTTTGCTAATTATATGTACATCAACAACTTGTGTTAACTGTCCAACAAATCAAATTTATAACTTTTGATTTTCATAGAATAATATATTTTTATATATTAAATAAAGTGTAAATTATAAAAATAAAATACAAAAATTGAAAACATTATATATATATAATCAATATAAATGAGTAAATATAATCATGTGACAATATATCGATATATTTTATTTATTTATTTTGTAATCTTGATTATGTAAGTAATCAATTTAAAATTCTTGTATATTCCAGAATTGTAAGGTTTACAAATTAAAACTGTCATTAACAAAATTTCCCTGCCCAATTAAGATTTCTGTTCCCAATCCAAATTTAATGGTCCGTACTTATTTTCCAGATCTTTCAGAACTTCTGTCATCTTGTTAGAATTTTTTTCCAAAAGCTCAATCTGCTCGTTTTTCTGTTTGACAGATACCTCGCACTCCTAAGGAATAAATTAACAATATGAATACAGAATATATTTTCTGATAAATAAGTTCTAAAACTTTTCATCACCTGCAATTTATTATACATTTGTAAATTAATAGCTTTTATGTCTTCGAGCTGACGACGGAGAGAAACAATAGTGTCTTGTTTCTCGTGAATGTCTTTTTCTAGTAACTTCATGGCCATTTCTGCTTCTCTTCTTAAATTTCCTTGAAGTTCCAATTCTTGTTCCAAGTCCTTCATAATAATAACTAATTTTTAGAAATCAAAAACAAGAATTGTATTCATATAAAAATCTTTTTTTTCTACCTGTTTATTTTGTATTTCTTCTTGTAGCTGCTTTTTTATATCATTATATAAACTATCTAAACCTGCCTGATTTGTGTGGTAGGTTTCCCTTTCTGCAGACATATCTGCCCTTGCTTCCTACAAAATAAAGCAATTAAATTTTAAACATTGTTCATTAACAGCAAATATCAAATTACTAACATCCAATTTCCTGCGATGTTCCACCGTTAAATGTTCTTGAGCTCTTTGGAGAATACTGTTTTCGTCTTGAAGAGACAAAATTTGATTTTTGGCAATAGCTAAGTCTTCTTTCATCAATGCATTTGTTGTCTGAAGATGCTCCACCTTCTGCTGAAGGTTGGTCACAGTCGCACTAACAAAGTCAATATGTAATTATGAAATTTATAATGTAAGAAAAATCTAAATTTTCTATGAAGTAATAAACAATGATACTTTAAATGCCTGTTAAGTTCTTCAATATAATTTTTTTGATCTAAAACAGCTGTCATACTTGCTGATTCAACTCTGTAAATTAAATGTATTTAAAACATTAGAGATTTTATAATAAAATGTTTCGTAAAATATTCGTGTATTACCCTTCAGGAGGTACTTCATGATTGTTGTCCCTCAAATAGAGACTAAAATCAATTATTCCTTGCTAAGAAATCAAAAGTCAATATTGTAATTGCAAAATTTTCAACAAATTTAATTTTAAGAAATTAAATGGAAAGAAGTCCAACCTGAGAATCTAAATCTTCTTCTTTCACACACAAATTACAGTCAATTACATTCAGTCCAACTAATAAACCACCAATAACAACAGCTTCCTCTGACATCATCAATGACTCGTCCTCATAAAATTCTCTATAAATTACATAAAGTTAGTTATGACAGTAGAAATATTTTTAATGCAAATTTGATATCTAACTTACGCAAGTATTTCGTCCTTTTTGTCAACAAGGAATCTAAAATAATCGGCCAACCTCTTCTGCATTAAAGCTAATCTCAACCAAGCTCTTGTTCTGCCGAGCTGAGTTCTGAAAAATTCGAAACTTACGCACAAGCACGGCAATTATATACACAATAAATTTTATATTAAAAACAACAATATCATACTTTACTGTTGGCAAATCTCTAACGCTCGCCGTAATGTCGGAGGCTTCGGGCATATAATTTTCGACCAGCTGCAGCATATTCCACAATTCCTTACGCGGACCGAGTAATCCCTTTTTAGCTAAAAGAAACGAAAAAATATTTGTTTATTCAAAGTACACACAGTCTTTATCCAAAACTAACAAGAATAAAGCAATTTCTAAGACTCACGCTTCAATCCATGACGTAATACGTGTTCTAACAAAATGAAAAAATGCTGCAATGGGACGTGATCGGAGTCCAGCATGCGACCATATTTTAGAGACGACTCTATCAGTTCTTTGACGACGAGCTTCGTAACATTTACCAGATTGGATCTCTCGATAGCCACGGGATCTCTTTCTAAAACCAAGATGTCTCGTGAAGTTTACGCAAATTAAATAAATAAATAAATAATATACGCATAATACCGAGGCATCAAAGACAAGAGAAATACCAAAAAAGACACACTCACCCTCCGGTTGCGGCGGTTGTGTCGGAACATCGAACTGAACGTCCGTCAATTCTTTTAGACACAACCACTCGCCATCTACGGAAACTCTGAAGTTACATAAGTAGATTGTATCTTTAGCCATTAATCTTTTTAGTTATCGTTAAAGAAAATTATTAAACAAATATTAGTTACAACTGGAATTAAAGTTTGAACTGAAACACAGTTAAAGAATATAAAAAGATATAAAAAAAAAAATTTATAAACAGTTAATCAATAGGAACAGAATCGGAATTTAGTAAAAAGATGCTAATTCCCATAAAAAACGCCATAAATGTATCTTCACTGCAAAGCATGACATGTTTACAGGAAAAGATGCATTCGAGGGAAACCTTAAAAAATAAAAGGGCAAATGGCTACTCCAACAATTAATACACACGTAAAGGATATAAATGAGAGAGATTAAAACGCTTTTTGTATTAGGAGATTTTTCTGTGAATCAAAATTATGTTACAATCGAGTGTGATGAAAGACGTTCAACATGGATGTCATTCCATCGATCAAATCGATCGATCTCCTCTGGACCCCTAGCGGTAATTCTAGCAGTAACTACTATCCCATCAACAGTTTTTTTTTTTTAAAGAGGAGGAAAATATGAAAAAAAATGCTAAATTGTATTCTCGAAAATTTAAGATGTTTTAATACAAATTAATAGCATCTCGTTCATACAAATAAATGGTTTTATAATTTGTGACCGGGGCCGTTGAGAGATTGCACCTTTCGCCTTTCCACCGAAGAAATAAAATACGTGGAATGTTTATTTTATGAATAAAGAACAGTTTTAAAGATTTTGTTTCATTTCTGTTAATAAAAAAAAAACAGCATTAATTACCCGTATTATCCTCTAAATTCTCTCAGACCTCGAGGGAAAAATCTCCCAACATATAAACACGTCCGTGTAGAGGGGAAGACTTATCCAATACAATAAGTTATAATTAAAATAAGTCATCCTTATAACGAGGAAAAGGTGCATTTATATACAAATACAATATATACTACGAGTCTACAATTTCCTACACTTAAGTTGAATACAGTCGACTCCCTTATAACACTGTTGATTACTCCGTTTTATATGAATTCCATGTTGTACGAGTCACTTAGATTTTACAAATACTTGAGCCATTCACAGCCCAGCACACGTATTTGTAAAATCTAAGTAACTCGTACAACATGGAATTCATATAAAACGGAAAAATCAACAGTGTTATAGGGGGTCAACTGTATTTATCCCTCCTTGGACCACTACCTCCAAAGCACTGATCCAACAATCACTTAACAATAAACTAAACGATTTACACTATGTATTGTATTCGTAATAAACGGTATTCGTGTTAATAACCACAGTACTGTACTATCATTCAATTTTTGATCTAACAACTCAACTACGCAGGTTTTAGCCTGATCAATCAATGATCGACTAACTTTTAAGTATCAAGGTATTTAGTCACAAAAATGAGATTGTTTACATGCCATAAAAATATCCTGAATGCGGGATAAAAACATTAAATCATCATATAACCAGGTGGTTAATAAATTAACGATCGAGTCGTTTCACTTATTATGGATGCAATTAGATTTATCATCATCCAAGAATTTTAGTCATACTATATTCTATACTTATGAATAGTTATGAAAGTCCAGTGTCTAATCCAGCGTTTCTCAAAGTGGGCAATAACGCCCCCTTGTGGGCGCTGGAGGCTTTCAGGGGGGCAGTAGAAGGCTCAAAGAGAATTGGGGGGCGTTAAGGAAATATAGAGGGGCGACGGCAGACAAATTCTATATATAAAAATTCGACGGAATATATATAAAATGTTGACATTTTATATATTTTTTATTTTTTATTGAAGGTCACAACTTGAATATTTCTAACACATTGACTTTTATTTTAGCTCAGCGTTTCTCAAAGTAAGCAATAACGCCCCCTTCTGGCGCGATGAATAGATCTATGATAGAGGCAGGGTATTGAACGGTGACCAAAGGCAAAATTGGGGCTGATAAGAGGAAACATTGCGTTTAATGGTTTCCAGATGATGAGAACAATGTACAGTAAGGGCACAAAGTGTGAGATTCATAGAAAAGTTTTCCTAAGAATATTTCCAATCCTTTTCTCACACAAGAGAAAATGGGTTAGGGGGCGTTGGGTATAACTTTATGGAACAAAGGGGGCGGTGGATCGAAAAAGTTTGAGAATCACTGGTCTAATCTCAATACTTCATGGTATTAAAAAAACAAAGCAACGAGCTGCTCAACTTTCCGGGCAAAATTTTGGTGGCTCCATCTGTTATAAAAATTTTAAATAAAGTATAATAATATTTTTAACTATTATAAAATAGCAAAAAGCTTAATTTTCAGGGTAGAAATGGGTTTTATAAAAAAAAAAAAAAAAAAAAAATTGTAAGTGCTAATAACGAGTAAAACCGTCATTAAGTCCGACCCTACTGGAGATAAACACGACCTCCTCCCATTACCTCCCCACCACTCGATCTTTAACCACCAAAATTCAATAGCATCAATTCTTCTAATAAACAAACTTCCCTATAAAATTTCAGAAATTTTCGACGAAAATCACAGGAGTTATTACGCTTCAAACAGGGTGAACAAAATCGTGCCGTGCCCCCCACACACTAACATTCATACATACAGAAATTAGAAGAAGAATTTTTCTGCATTTCTCGACGTTTCAAGGAAAGTATGGCGATCCGGTAAAAAATGTAAAAGAGGGTCATTTTTTGCCGAATCGCCATACTTCGCCTCTGTATAACAGCCGGGAAAGTAAAAAGGAAATGTGCTTTTCTCTATTCTGATTTGGCATTACATTTTATTGAGCCTTTATTAAGTATAAAGACGACTTGATGAAGGGTTTTAAAATACACCCGTGTTCATCATCAATTCATCTCCTTTCATCACTCAGTCGTATAATTGTGATAATGCGCCAAGCGCCCACTTGACGTCAGGATAGAAGACACCGCACAGCAACTAGGGCTGGTTTTGTTTAATGTCAGTGTTGTTGTTGTGAAGTCACGCAAACAGTCGCGTGCGCAGACAGAGAAGATGTAAGAGATGGCACGTCGGAAGTGAATCACTCGGATGCCAGGTTAACAATTAATAACCGTTTAATTGCACAGAAAAAGGGTACGTGATACAAACTTCGTAACGTACTAAATTAACTGATCTATATGGTAAGTGGTTGCGGTAGAGAGAATTTACACGAGATCCACGTGGAGTTTGAAGGATCCGTTTGTAGACCTGATACAGGAGAGGATTCGGTCCGTCCCTTAGGAAGGTTGACTAAACGAGGAAGTTGACACGTTACAATAGTTGTGGATAATGTTCCGGGTCAGAATCGATCGTATATCCGTTTCGGAGGCACAGAGTTAATTGGCGACGACTGCTTCATTGGGCCGTCGGTTCCGATATTAAAACGGCCGGGAGGTCAAAGGATGAAGGGAAAGCGTGGCTTTGGCCGCCGAGAACGTGCAAACTGACAAGTTATCAGGTAGTGAAGGATAAGCAACAACGTTAGCTGTCAAAATATGTATCTGCAAAGCATGACATGTTTACAGGAAAAGATGCATTCGAGGAAAACCTCAAAAAATAAAAGGGCAAATGGCTACTCCAACAATTAATACACACGTAAAGGATATAAATGAGACAGATTAAAACGCTTTTGTATTAGGAGATTTTTCTGTGAATCAAAATTATGTTACAATCGAGTGTGATGAAAGACGTTCAACATGGATGTCATTCCATCGATCAAATCGNGGCGACGACTGCTTCATTGGGCCGTCGGTTCCGATATTAAAACGGCCGGGAGGTCAAAGGATGAAGGGAAAGCGTGGCTTTGGCCGCCGAGAACGTGCAAACTGACAAGTTATCAGGTAGTGAAGGATAAGCAACAACGTTAGCTGTCAAAATATGTATATGATGAAATCGAAAGGGATTTTTGTTAAAGTCCATCTTCTCACATAATAAAGCTTGTTTTACTTTCCCGGCTCTGTTATATATAACAGAAGGAAATTATGGCCATCGGTAAAAAATGATCTTCCCAATATATCTACATTGGGACCTTGAAACGTCGATGAATACAAAACCACTGCCATTCTTTCTGTGTATGGATGTTAGTGTGTGTAAGAGGTTCGATTTTGTTCGCCTTTTGTCGAGAATCTCTTAAATTTTGCAGGCAGGTTTGTGTATTAAGACATTCTGGTGGCATTACCTGGCGTACAAAGGGTCACAATCATTACAAATTGCTCTTGGGATTTTCAAAAATACAGATATGCATTTAATCTAAAGTAATGTTAATTCGACATTTTTATAATTTTATTTATTAGAAAAAAGATTATTTCAACTTTAAAAAGTTTTCTAATAAATATTTCAACAAAATGATTATTTCTGAAATACTGTATTTCAAACCGATTAATTTTTTTTACGTAACACATGACGGAATACGTCACACGCGTTGTTAAAAATATATTCCAACAATACGTAACGAATTGTTAGAAATGTATTGTTGGCTTTTTCTATTGTAAGTGGCTATTGTTAAGCGCAAATTTGTTCCAAGGTTTCACGTTTTTTCTTCCTTTTTCTTAGATTTCCCGGAAATTTGATGATTTAAGAATACTTCAGGAATAAATGGAAGGTAGAAAAGGCTCTCCGTGTCCGTTTCTTGAAGACACGATCGAACAAAAAGGCCGACGGGAGTTGAAGTTTGTGTCCCGATTATTTAAGGCTACTTTGGGTGAAAACAGAAGATGCGGCTGGGAAATGTTTTCATGGTGTGAGTTAGGAAGAATGAAACTCGGCAAGTGATTCGAATCACTTGTGGAATTTCATTCTTTCCAACTCTTGGTGG